TGTGTGTGTCTTTATGTATGTATATATGTCAGTATGTATGTTTGTATGTATGTGTCAGTATGTATGTATGTATGTAAGTATGTATGTCTGTGTGTGTAAGTCAGTATGTGTATGTATGCATGTCTGTCTGTGTGTATTTCAATATGTATGTATATGTGTGTGTCTGTCTGTTTGTGTGTGTGTGTGTGTGTATTTATGTCCTTATGCGTGTGTGTGCAGTGTGCATAGGAATTCGTTCATATTGTTTATTGTCCGGCCCCCAACAGAGTCTGAGGGACCATGAACTGGCCCCCTGTTTAAAAAGTTTGAGGACCCCTGTCATTATGTATGTGTGTATATATGAATGTATGTCTGTATGTATGCATGTATGTCAGTATGAATGTATGTCTGCATGTCATTATGAACGTATGTCTGTGTGTATGTATGTCAGTATGTATGAATGTATGTATGTATGTCTGTATATATGCCAGTATGAATGTATGCCATTCTGAATGTATGTATATATGTGTGTATGGATGTCAGCGTCTGTATGTCTGTCTGTATGAATCTATGTCTGTATGAATGAATGTATGTCTGTGTGTATGTATGTCGGTGTATGTCCTCATGCATGTGTGTCTGTATGTATGTTAGTAAGTGTCTGTCACTATGTATGCCTGTGTGTCTGTATATATGTGTATGTCTCAGTATGTGTGTGTCAGTATGTGTGCCTATATGCGTGTATGTCTGTTTCAGTATGTGTGTCTGTTAGTATCTATCTGTGTGTATATGTGTCCTTTTGTATCAGTATGTGTTTTTGTGTCTGTGTGTGTATTCCTGTGGGTGGGATTTGGATGTGGACCCTGTGGGCGGGATTGGAGGCCGGCCCCAGGGTGCCCAGACCCTGAGCTGAGTTAGGGACCCCAAAATTTCTGGTGGCGGCCTTGTAAGTATATGTGTGTCTGTAAGTGTATGTGTGTGTCGGTAAGTATATGTGTGTCTGTGTGTGTCTGTAAGTGTATGTGTGTGTATGTGTGTGTGTCTGTAAGTGTATATGTTTGTGTGTGTCTGTAAGTGTATGTGTGTCCGCAAGTGTGTGTTTGTCTGTAAGTATATGTGTGTATGTATATGTGTGTGTGTCTGTAAGTGTATTGTTATGGACAGATGAATTAGAATAAAATGGCTATTTACTAATGTCTATTTATGCTGTGTACACTGTGTTAAAACTGGCTGCTAGAGTAAATATTCCCTTCCCCCCCTACAATGTGTTCAGTTGCTGTTTCCTCTGTAAATTCCTCCAACTAAGCATCCCCCTTCCCATCAAGCAAACCTTGTGTAACCAAAATTCCTGTGTTAACAGCTTCCTTTACTAACTCCTCCCCCACTTCCTTTGTGCCAGTTAACAGCTATATGCCACATGTAACAAAATGGAGAATCACTGTTAAAGTAACTGAAAGAAACTACTCACTCCCCCTCCCATCGTGCATCCAGGAGTTGGAATATAGGCGGGAGAAGTCTGTAATGATGACACTACATCCTGTAAGGGGGGGGTTAGACGGGACCCCTTAGACTGTTAACCAATTGTTGAATGTATACTGTATGTTTAAACTGTGACGTATTTTTGCTTTAAGAAGGAGCCCCCACTCCGGGGAATAAAGCATTCCTTGGTTTTTCACTGATCAGAAACTTTGTCTCCGGTGTGAATTACTTCTAGGGAAAGCGTGCACGCATTAATTAATCAATTTGGAAGGTGTAGATAGACAAATTATCAAAGTTTTCTTTGATCCAAAACATTTGGCGACCCAGATGGGACTGAAAGGGTTACATTAATAAGGAAGCCGTAAAATCCCAAGACAGGAGAACAAAGGATTCCCAGAGATTGGAAACGGAGCCTGATCACCTCTGCATATGGTAAATGAGTTACTTACCTATATTTTCCTTTCTTTGGATTTCTCTTATTCTCCGTGCCTTCACATTCGGCTTCCTGTGGTTAACGTCTTCAGATAGGTAATATATATATGCCCGAATGTCCCCTTTTATATAGAACCTGTCACTTGTCTATCTACAGCCTGAGTCCTGAGTGTGAGTTTTATGTGTGAAAGTGTCTGCTTGAGAATCTGTTTTACTACTTGCTTAATACTGTTATATAATGCTGCCAAGTGTGGTTAAGCGCTTGCAGATTTAGCCAAGTTCGGGTTTGGTGGAAAAACCCTGGCTGTTTCTTTGTTTTAGTTAGACTCGGTCAAGAGTTTAAAGATTTATTTTATTTGTTTTAGCTAAGCTTCGGTAAAGAAGCTAGTGAGTGACTCGGTCAAGAGTTTAAGATTTATTTTATTTGTTTTAGCTAAGCTTCGGTAAAGAAGCTAGTGAGTGACTCGGTCAAGAGTTTAAAGGTTTATTTTATTTGTTTTAGCTAAGTTTCGGTAAAGAAGCTAGTGAGTGACTCGGTTAAGAGTTTAAAGGTTTTTTGGTAAAGTAAGAACTGGCGCCTTTTCTTTTAGTAAAGCTTGGTGTAGAGTTACAAAGAAAAGAAAAGGAAAAGTTAATGTTTATGTGCTTGAGTGTTTCTGTGTGTGTGATTTGAGTTATTATAAGCCGGCATTTATTTTAAGGACTTTGTGATTTAATTACATCTGTATTTTGTGCTTTTGTCTGTGTATGTCTTGTTGGGTACCATATATGTTAATTGTAATCTATACAATCTGTATCGTTACTCTCCTATTCTATCTTTTGTCCTAAGGAGAGCTGTGCTTAGGCAATCACATGGTTAAAAAACTTTGTGCTTGCAAGTCTTCCTCCCCCCTCCCCCCTCCTTCTTGGTTGCTTTCTCTTGCTCTGACTGCTATGAGTATTGGCTACAGGGGGGGTGAATGGGTGAAATGCTTGTAAACTCAGTGAGGAATGTGAGGGAAAAAAGGTATATTTGCTGGACGAATATCCTAGTTAGGAACTTTGTGTAATCTTGTATATGTTGTTAAGTAAGAGGTTATTGGCATGTTGGAATAAGGAAAGTTAGATTTTGTTGGAACAAATGAACTGTTAGTCTGTACTGTCTTTCATTGTTTTTATGTGTGTTATAAGAAAGTATTAGGTTAATTAATTAAAATAAAAATTTACATCAAGTTTGCAAATATGGCAGAATGAAATACACTAATGTAGCAGTTAGGAGACATGCAATCTATGATATATTGGGTGTATGCAATTATACAGTAACTCCAATCATTTTACAGAAGAAAAAACAATAGATTTATTCTTTGTTGCTTCTGAGGTTGATTTAAAATCTTTGATTTAATTCATGAGAATGAGATTTTAATATCATGACTGATAATGGATTACTGTATATTGCAACGCCTGGACATACACATGTTTTGGATATACTGAAGACAAAAGGAATAATATATGGGAATGGATAAGGCTGATTTCCCCCTATCCACAGCCACGCTTACTCCTAAAGTAACATCGCGTCCATCCTTACTATGCCCTTTTACTGTAGAATTGCCCGAATCCTAATGACCCATTTTACTATATGGTGTGACTTGTTTAAGCCTAAGATAAATTGGCTGATCAGGCTACCTGTATTAACAATGTCATCAACGATGAGTTAGCATCTGTGGAGAAGTGTCACTTCAGGTTGTCCCAAATTTTCTTTTAACTTAAGTTTTAGTACATAGTAAGGCCCATGCCCAACAACTATATGCAGCCTTGTATAGCAGGCCACATGACATCTATTTGTACCAAGCAAGGCCTGCCTGACTCCTCATTCCTGTCTAAAATTGTTGTCTCCTGCACAAGTGTAGATGGCTCTCCTTGGAGTAGCCTGTTAACTAAGCCTTGCTTTGTGGTTACCTTCACCTGTCCAATTAATCTGCTAGGTGCAGATGTCCTTCCTCCACTTGCAGGCCCCTATCACCTTATTATTTCTTTTGTTCCACACAGTGAAACCTGACCAAGAGGCAAGGGTCCTAGCTAGTTCCCCCAATACCTTTACCTGATTTATACAGGCCCCAAAGCCTGTCCAAGCTCTTACTATTCCCTAACAGGTTAAGGCTCTGGTGTTGAATGGTGCCCTGGTTCCCTGAGACTTTCCATGCAATATCCCACCTCTCCTTGTAATGGACGAATTCTGTGCAGGATAGTGTCACCCTGCAGGGATGATACTCTATTTACCTGGCCACTCTTCTGCCACTTCCCAGGGGGGGAAATGATAAGACACTGACTATTATTTTTTTTTAGCCTTTTTCTTATGATCTGTTCCGGATTTGCTGTCACTACAGTGGACCAAGTATCTCACCTCAACAATGTCTGCACAAGAAGCTGAGCTATAGGCTCCCATCACAGCATGCAAGATCTCTGAAGGAAGACTGAACTCAGAGGAAGCATGTGGCAACTCTCTGGCTGACCAAGTTGTTCAAGAAGTTGTAAGTGCACTAAGGGAAGTGGACAGAAAAGTGTCTGCTGAAGAAACTCCCATATTCACCATGTAAGATCTTACCTACAGACATCAAGCTCCCGAAGGAATAACAAGCAAGCTACCTACCCTGGAAAGAAAGAAAAAACAAACAAACCACAAGCTGGAAACAGAAAGGGGCAACTCTTAAAGACAGGCTGTACTTCAACAATCTCAAGTTCTGCTTGCCCAAGAACATATACTCAGCAGTGGTCCAGTGGGCCTACGGAGCATCTGTCCAGAACCCTCATGAACTCTTTTGATCAATAAATACTCTGAAGTACCAGGAATTGCCTCTCTGACCAACAGTTACTGTAAATCTTGTGCCATTTGTGCCAAGGGCAACTCAGGAAGAATGGAGGAAAGCCCCAAGCATCTAGCCAAACCTCATTATCTCTTCCAGAGGAGTCAAGTCGACTACATCCAGAATGCCAAAGAATGGCTGATTCAAATATGCACTAATTATAGCAGACATGTTTTCAGGATGGCCAGAGGCCTATCCAGCCACCAAAGTGATAACCAAGACCACATGCTGAGTAGTGCACCGTGAAAGTTACAGAGATCACCCCGTGGATTTATCATTCCAGAATCAAGCCTGCCTCTGCATCATGTGAAGTAACATTTGTTGATCTTGACAACCCTTTTTGAAACTCCATTCTTAGAGAACAAAGATACTTGTTGAAAATAAATAAATATCAACAAGTGGGTGTTTTGATGGCCATAATAATGCCTGACCACCTGCCATCGATGGAAAGCCGAATACCCCAAAAGGGGACCTCGTGAAACTAAAGAGAAACAAACATACTCCTTACCCTGCAGCCCTCACGTCTGAGGTGCCATACACACAGTCAAAGCTTCTTCAGGATCATCTGCTTATGTTGAGTTTGTGGTGATATTAATATTGAATGTTTAAATGATCTGAATCTGCCAGTACTAGGGTAGCATGAGACAAGATTTCTAAGAATAAGTAAATGTGCCCTAGCCTAGGTTATTATGTCCATACACATAACACATGACAATCCCCAAGCTACTCTTGACACACCTCATTCATGCTTCAGGACAAAAAGGAGTACCCCTATAAAGGGTGGTTTTACCCACACATATATATATGTATATTAATGCCATAGGGGTACCAAATGATTTTAAGGTAAGAAACTAAGTTTGAATCTATTCTCCCAAGCATTACGGCTAATAAAATCTGAATTGGAAGGGAAGAGGTTTATACAATAAACAGGAGACCTTTTTCTTACAGGACATGTATGACTCACTTGAATGGGTAGGTGCCACGCACTTGACTGTTAATCCCCTCAAACCACACATTAGGACTTTAAAAGACATGGTAGTCATCCCATATTTGAGGATACTAGGGCTGTAGAGACAGGTTTCTTTGTCACTAACTTGTGACTTGAATGGATGAAATACAATGCTACTAAACATAGCAACTCTAAATGCTATGTCTGCGGAGGAGCGAGGCCTCAACCAGGTACTGTATCCCTGAACATTCCTCCGGATATGAATTATGCGTTTTAAGTCTCTACACTGTATTTAAACCTAAGCGGTCAGCATGCGAGTCATGGAAACTTAATACCCAATCATTACTAAAAATATTAACCCAGACGAAGGCATTACTATATATCCCGGGAACTATACTTGTTATGGGATATATGGTGGGATAGGGCGGTTACAAACTACCTCTCAGATGACCTTCCAGCCTTTTTGTTATTTTTCTATAGGGACAGTATTAGAGTGAGAGTTAGTAGTTTTTTAGTAAAATTGCCATTTTAAGGGGGGACTGTTATGGACAGATGAATTAGAATAAAATGGCTATTTACTAATGTCTATTTATTCTGTGTACACTATGTTAAAACTGGCTGCTAGAGTAAATATTCCCTTCCCCCCCTACAATGTGTTCAGTTGCTGTTTCCTCTGTAAATTCCTCCAACTAAGCATCCCCCTTCCCATCAAGCAAACCTCGTGTAACCAAAATTCCTGTGTTAACAGCTTCCTTTACTAACTCCTCCCCCACTTCCTTTGTGCCAGTTAACAGCTATATGCCACGTGTAACAAAATGGAGAATCACTGTTAAAGTAACTGAAAGAAACTACTCACTCCCCCTCCCATCGTGTATCCAGGAGCTGGAATATAGGCGGGAGAAGTCTGTAATGATGACACTACATCCTGTAGGGGGGGGTTTAGACAAGACCCCTTAGACTGTTAACCAATTGTTGAATGTATACTGTATGTTTAAACTGTGACGTATTTTTGCTTTAAGAAGGAGCCCCCACTCCGGGGAATAAAGCATTCCTTGGTTTTTCACTGATCAGAAACTTTGTCTCCGGTGTGAATTACTTCTAGGGAAAGCGTGCACGCATTAATTAATCAATTTGGAAGGTGTAGATAGACAAATTATCAAAGTTTTCTTTGATCCAAAACAGTATGTGTGTGTATGTGTGTGTGTCTGTAAGTATATGTGTGTCTGTCTGTAAGTGTATGTGTGTCTGTCTGTAAGTGTGTGTGTGTGTGTATCTGTGTGTGTGTCTGTAAGTGTATGTGTGTGTGTCCGCAAGTGTGTGTGTGTGTGTCTGTAAGTGTATGTGTGTCTGTCTGTAAGTGTATGTGTGTGTGTCTGTAAGTATATGTGTGTATGTGTGTGTGTCTGTAAGTATATGTGTGTGTGTCTGTAGGTATGTGTATGTGTGTCTGTCTGTAATTGTATGCGTGAGTGTGTGTAAGTGTATGTGTGAGTGTGTGTATGTTTGTCTGTGTATATGTGTTTCTCTGTGAGTGTGTCTGTTAGTGTATGTGTGAGTGTCTGTAAGTGTATGTGTGAGTGTGTGTATGTTTGTCTGTGTGTATGTGTTTCTCTGTGAGTGTGTGAGTGTCTGTAAGTGTATGTGTGAGTGTGTGTGTGTGTATGTTTGTCTGTGTGTATGTGTTTCTCTGTGAGTGTGTTTGTGTCTGTAAGTGTATGTGTGAGTGTTTGTCTGTGAGTGTGTGTGTCTGTAAGTGTATGTGTGTGTGTTTTTCTGTGAGTGTGTGTGTCTGTAAATGTATGTGTGAGTGTGTGTGTGTGTGTGTGTATGTGTTTGTCTGTGAGCAGAGTACTTGTGAAATAGAAGAAAGAAGGAGCAGAGTATTTGAAAGAAGGTGCAGAGTACTTGTAGAATAGGAGAAAGAAGGAGTAGAGTACTTGTAAAAAAAGGAGAGGATTGTTGTTGGCTAATAATAGTAAGTGGGCTGTGTAGCTCAGCCTTCCTACTGGGCATTGCTATAAGGAAGGTTAAAAAATAGAAAAAAGTTTTTAAAAAGGGGGGGGAATTGAGGAGGGAGAGGAGGGGAGCTGATGCACAGATGAGAAATCATATTATGAGCAAACAGAGAAATCGTCTGAATATCACCGAAAGAGGAGACCTTTGTTTGTTCCTTACGAAAATCGAAGCAGAAATCAAATATTTAGTCTCGCAGTATAAACCTCAAGGATCTCATTAATCACTAGTAAAGGTAATTTCAATTTACTTTATTGTTTTCTCGTTAAGCTTTATAAAGTTAAAAACATTATAAACATGCATAAAGTAAAAATAAAAAGATAAATGTACGTACATTTATTTATTTTTTAAAAACACCCTCCTTTCTAAAAAATATTCTGCACTTGCGCAAAAACTGATGGGCGGTAAGGAAATTTTTCCATCAAGAAAGATGCATTAGTGGGCGGTAGGTAGAAAAAGGTTGATACCACTGCTGTAGATTGTCAGCATGTTTTTTTGTAAAAAACAGAAGTACGAAACAGGATGTGATAAGCTTGTTCCCACATCCTTTTTAGGTTTGCCACATGTTCCTCCACCAGCAGCAGTTACTCCAAAGGAATTGCGGATGGAAGAACGAGCAGATCAAAACCAAAATCAATAAAGAACGGGCTGTAACGAGTAGCCTTACAGACCACAATGTTATGCGCAAATTTATCCTAGGGAACAAGGTCCACCCAATCGTCCTGGTGATTAGAGACTAAAGATCTTAAGTATTGTTCCAACTTTTGATTGGAATGTTCAGCTGCTCCATTAGATGATAAGCCGAGGAAAAGTGCTACCCAACTGAACACAGAAAGCCCTCCAGAAACGAGAAATAAACTGTTCCCCCGTGTCTGATATGATTTCCTTGGGTATGCAGGGCCGGTGCAAGGATTTTTGGGTACATAAGCGAAGAAGTAGTTTTTTCTCTGAAAATACAGTGTTTACATTAGATTGCCTGCAGGGAGCTATACATCTCACCTGAACAACTACATTAAGCTGTAGTTGTTCAGGTGACTATAGTGTCCCTTTAATGTTCGGTACTCAACCCTAGTCAGAAGCTAAGTCAAATACTGCAAGAAGTGAATACAAAATAACAGTAAATGTAACCGCTACCTGAAAGTCACATATGTTACTGTAGCGGAGGCCTGATATTCCACAGGTTAACTCCACTAAAGATCCCAGTGAGGCTCAGGAACAAGTGATGAAAAATCCCATAAAGTAATAATTCCAGCAAGCAAGGTAATCCAAGAATATCCCCATACAGATCCCAATGACTGGACAACACACAGCATCAGGAGCAGAACTAACTTTTATTCCACACAACCTCCTTTTAAGCATTTCTCCCATGCAAGGGATGGATTCACATTCATTAGTACAGTACCCAATGGAATAGCAGTTATCTCCCACACATCTCCTCCCCTTAGTATGACACTTAATCCCATTACCCAGGTTATAGTTTTCCCCAAATTCTGGAAGTACCCTAAGATTAGCAGATACACCAATACTTTGTATTGGTACCCCCTGGTAGCCCTGATCTGGGTGACTAACATATCCAAAATTCACCCAGATCAGACCAGGGGTTCGGGAGTTAGGTGGAGGGTGTAATTTGACCGACAGCACACGAGGTGGTATCGGAAAAGGGTTCTGGCCCTGCGGTGGGTCTCCGTTCGGGAGTTGAAAGACACATAAAAAACTGACATCCACTAATACATTTACGTTCGCATGATTCCCCTCATTCGGTACTTTAAACTTACAGAACGGGGGGCTCAATTGGCCTTCCTGTTCGGGAGTTACGGAACTCTGGAGGTGTCAGCGGTATTCGGGTAATCGAGTGTCCGATTTGAGTTCCAGACACTCGACGACCAAACACCACTGAGCCTTTCATGCATAAGATGGCCACCGCCACGTGTTCGCATGCCGAATGGCGGCCACCCAGTTACATACATAAAACACCTATTAGTCTGCGGTTAGCGAGCAATTTGCAGCTTAACGAGGGACACACTTCACTCTGGGGTGGTCTATTAGTTCGGTAGCTTCCATCCGTATGAAATACAGATAGAAACTACTGAACAATCTTACGAATTCTACTTACAATTAACTATACAGCAGAAACAACACACGAATTGCAGTTTTAACACAGTCTTTTAGGACAGCCACAGTACCATCCACTACACTGCTCCCCCTTGCCCACTAGCCGGCATACACAGTCTGATCCAACACGGATCGGCTTGGGGATGTCCGGGGATACTCACGGATCATTTCTCCAGGTCTGTTTGTCTTGACAACCCGTCAGCGTTCCCATTCTGTTTGCCCGGGCGGTACTGAATGTTAAAGTCAAAGGGCTGCAGCGCCAAGCTCCAGCTCAGCAGCCTGGCATTGTCCCCAGCCACCCGGTTCAGCCATACTAACGGGTTGTGATCCGTGAGCAAGGAAAAGAGCTGTCCATACAAATACGGCTGCAATTTCTTCAGGGCCCACACCACAGCCAGGCATTCCTTCTCAATGGCGGCGTAGCTTACTTCTCTGGGTAACAACTTGCGACTGATGTAAGCCACGGGATGTTCTCCGCCATCGG